TTAATATACTGCACTGCTGTTACCCAATAATTCATAAGCTTGCTGATAAAATCCTCTTTTTTCTCTCTTTTAAATAGCAACAATTAATTGATTCTAAGCAACCACAGAAAAGTAAGATTAAGACTGAAGAGATTCAACTCACTTTTTGGGTAGTTAAAAAAAAAAAAAAGGTTATTCAAACCAAAAATATAAGGATGATTTTGAAAATAAGATTGTAATACTACACTACATCAAAGATGCAATTAATTTCGTAGCTAAAATTTAAAAACTGTATTTTTCATTTTCCTACAAAAATGGACCACCAAACTACATTGCTTATCTTTCTGCAAATAAATTATTTCTAAATGCCGAAATAAAGGTGTTTTCATTAGTTACACTGTGTGTGCCCCCCAAAAATCAATATTTAAGACTGCAACTTTCTATAACATTTCAAATGCAGTAATATATACAAAAAAAAAAAAAAAAAACCTCACACTACTTAACTTCTAATTTTATTTACCATGAAATTAGCTTTAAACTCTTAGTAACATTACCTATTATAATGACCCTAATGATCCAAAAACATGTAAGAAGCAGTACTTCAGATTTATTCTCCATATACTAGTTATACTAGGTAAATATGAATTTCTTCGGTAAAAAAGATCATAAAAAAATAAAAAATAACATAAAAACTGACTTTTTTTAAAAAAGGTAAGTTTAGGACTTATCAAAGACTTAACAATTATTAATAAAAACCGGGAGCATTATCAAATTTTTTTTTTAAAGATTTTATTTATTTATTCATGAGAGACAGAGAGAGAGAGAGAGAGGCAGAGGGAGAAGCAGGCTCCCAAGGAGCAGGGACCCCGATGCGGGACTCGATCCCAGGACGCTAGGATCATGACCTGAGCCGAAGGCAGACGCTTAACCATCTGAGCCACCCAGGCGCCCGCATTATCAAATTTTAAAACCAAATGCCAGCAATCATTTTTTGACTATCTCTTGTGAGAGAGGGAATTGGTGAATTCATGAAAGCATATAAGGTTACAGCAACTCAGTGCTGTTCAATTTATTCTATGCGATTATTACAGTACTGCAAAGGATTACTGAATTTGTTTTCACAACCAAAATCTAACACAAATTTATCCCTGAAATTTGGTTTGCATGTTTTTAAAATAATGATCATTTTAGTCTCATAAGTATCTAAGTTTAAAGCAAATAAGGTATTACCTTAAGACCCAGTGAAATATGAAAGTTTTCAAGAAGCCCAAAATATAAGCTCCTTTGAAACAACCATGACTCCATTTTACAAAGTCACCTTGTCTAAAGCACATGATACTAAAAGTAAAATTCAAAAGATACCATGGTTTAAAAACAAAATGAAACAACAAAGAAAAAAGAAAAAAAGCATGAATTCTGTTCAGGACAAAATGAGATCACATTAGGAAGTACAGAATCCATTAAAAGTTTGTTTCCTCCACATCTGTATTTTGTTATAACGAATGTTGCTCGCAAAAAGGAGGACAGTGATAAGGTCTCCAAAATGCTGTTACACACAAAGTTTGCTGTAACAGAAAATGACTCCTTTTTCATTTCCCTATAGAAAACGATCTATCCTGATCTTAAGAGACCTCCAAAAAGAACAAACATCTTTCTACAATTTATATCATAAAACTTCTGTCATAAGTCCTTTCATCTAAGGGAGGAAAGCAAGTCTGTTTTACTTACTTCTGTATCTCCGTCCCTAGCAATGCTGGAGGCACTGTGCATGAATGCACTCATTCATTCAATCATTTACTCACTCATTCAGCAAGTATTTACTGAAAATTTCCTTTGTGCCAGATACTGTCTAAGTAATGAGGTAAGGCACATGACAAATGAGAGGGTCCTACCTAGGTAGCTTAGTCTAGTGAGAGAGACAGACGTTTATCAAATAAGTAAAGAAATAATTAAGTTCCTATTGTGATGATACTACAAAGACATACAAAGCTGGTGAAGATACACTGGGAACTTACTATACAGTAAGTTCTAGTTTTAGGAAGGAAGGGTCAAAGAAGGTCAGGAAAGGTTCCCCTGAGGAATGACATTTAAACTGAGATCTGCAAATAACTAGGAGTTCATCAGATTTAGGAAGGAGACAGGGAGCAGTCCCGCAGGGAGATGAACATGATGTACAAAGGTTCCCAAGTCAGGAAGAAACTTATGTATGTAGTAAGTGAAAGGTGTAGTAAATAAGAAAGGTTGGTAATAAGTGTGGAGAGCTGGAAAGGAGGCAAAGAATAAACTGTCAGCATCAAAAAGTGTATGAGGGTAAAAGAATTTGAATACTTAAGTCATTTAAGTCCTTTTCTCACATAAAATAAATAATTTTGGGAACTGAGTCTTTATTCTGTAACAGTAAGATCTACATTCAGAAGACCTGGCTTATGCCTTAATCCCACCAGTCACTAGTTTCAGGACTTTACACTTGGCCAGTCTGAACTTCTTCATTCTCTGTGTAAACAGGTACTCAATTATTTTACCTACTGGGAATGCAATGATAATACAGAATCCTGTTCTCATGACCTTCTACCCTCAAAGATAGATGCATGTGGGAGACATCCTAAGTCCTGTAAGAGATGATGTCCAAAAGCTGACGCAAGGCTCCTGCAGAACCAAAAATGAGAACAAATGTGGATACTGGTGAACTGCTAACTATTTTAAAAATACAAGTATTCACATAACTCTGGGAACCCTAAATTCTTCAATGTGCAGAGATCCAAAGTGACCACAGTGTGACTTAAAGATTGTAAATACAGTAACAACCTTACTCCATCATTTTACAATATAGATGAAATACCAAAACTATAATGGGCCTCAGAGATGAAGAGTAATGATAGAACTGAACCCAGGACAAAAACTAACACACAATGAACAAGTGCATTAAATTAATTTTACTTATTTCCAAATCTTCCTGACTTTTAATTCAAAAGCTCATTCCACAACCTCAAAGCTGCATGCCAAAAGTTAGAGAACTCATCTCACACTTCCAACAAAAAGGAAATGCCTACACTGCCATCTAGAAAACACATTAACATTCTTGCTTTACTATCACTAACTCATGTTCAGTTTACGCTCTATGTAAACTACCATTTCCTCCTATAATACAGCATGGAGCCAGTTATCCCAACGTAATTTTGTTTAATTGGTCTTCCTTCCTTGTGTACTGCATTACTCATGGTGCTATGTTACTCCTATACTTCCTACTTCATTCTATAATATCATACCTCTATTTTAAATGTTATATTAATCTCCAGACCATCTTAACTTCAATCATAGGGGAGCAATATACAATATATGATCCTAGAAAGAGTTTTTGCATTCAAAAGTTAAACACTGTTAATATTTGCAGAGTACATTCAAAAAACAGCATATGGTCAACTTATACAACAGTAAACAAGGATTAACTACTAGCTATCAGCAGATACTGAATTACTGTATATAAACTTATCACAAAAGAAATCCTGATGTCAAAAACACACCTAAAATTCTATTAAAGATCCAGTAATATTCATGAGCTATAAATGGTCACACTAACAATTATAAAGGATAAGACCGTTAAGTTACAAGAATACTGCTTTCTGCTCAATATAAAATATAAATGTCCAACTTTCCCATTCTTTAGTAAAAATAGGATGAATTAAAAGTCATTTATAATGCTAAGAAAAATAAGAAAAATAAAGTAGGCGCTTGATGATTTTACACATACATACACACACACACTGGAGTCAAGAAAATAAGGGGAAAAGTAAACAGAAATCAACAAAATGTGATGTTACGTCCAAGAAATGCAAAGTAACTTCTTTTCTAGTAATGAGCACACCAAATTCTCTTGATACTATTATTACTTGAAAAACGTGTAAAATAAGTTCTGTGACAGAATTCCTATACTACTGTTGTCAGTTTTACAAAATCATAGGAAAAACCGTCAGTCCTAAGGTAGGGAGGAAAAGGAACACCTTTTAAATGTAAGGATGGGGTATATTTTTTTACATTCTCCTATCTCATTATCTACCATTTAAAATGGTACAGTCCGTCACTTAGTATACCCGTAATAAGTAGGCTGAAACTCACTTATTTTTCCAAAAAGTTAGAGTGTGTCCTTGTTTTATTGAGGAATTCCTCCAACTCAAAAAACTCTTTAAAGGGCTTCTGAGAAATACATAAAATGCATTACTTTGCAATTTCCCCCCACTCACTTCAAAAAACCACCAACCTCCCTATTCTTTCTTTCTGGTGCGTCAGCCCTCATTCAGAAACTGGATTACAACTGGATTAGATTCAAATCAGTCCCTACGTGTGTGACCTTGGGCACGTCACTTATCCCCTCAGTTTCTCACAGGCATCCGAAAACAGTGTCTTTAAAAACAGAACGGGTGTAAAGATACCTTTGGAATTACACCTAAGGTTAAGGTTTTCTGCTTAGAGGCAAAATTACCTCCTTAGAAGGGCCACATCATGAAACTGGAACTGAATCCGCAGATCTCTGTCAACATTGACTCTTCCTTTACAGTTCTCCTCTTCTTTCAAAGGGCATAACCTGAGTCACCCCAAGAGCAGACTCCCAAGCGCCCCTTCCCTCCTCCACTCCTTCCCTATCCTACTTCTAAAGCAGGGGAAAACAGCAGCCACATCTCCCCGCCCCAAGCCACACCTTCGGAGGACCCCACCCCAGACACATCCGCCCTCTCCCTTCTCCAGGGGCACCAGAGGCCAACCTCGCCCTTCCCCTCCCGCCCCCACCTAGAGGAGACTTCCTGGAGGCGTTCAGGCCCGAGCAGGGCAGGCAGCACTTACAAACCCGCTTTACGCCACTCGCGTAGGGTAACCTCGCTTACGCCCATAGGGCCCCGTTCCCAGCCTCGTCCGCTCCGCCTGCCAGAACCAAGCCCAAGTGCCTCAGCCACGGCCCCTGTGTGACCCCACACCTCTTCTGCTCCGCTCGGGGCTACAGAGACTGGGATAGAAGACCCACACCTTACCGGCAACTGAGACACTGACTTCACTTCCCACCTTTGGAGCCCTCTTCAACTCCCGGATCAATTCACTCCGGCGACGCCGGAAGGACCCGAGAGGAACCAGGCGTTGTCCGGAATCCTGCCCAGCCGGAGTCGCGCAGGGGCCTATGGGAACTCGTAGTCCCACTCTCAGCCGTCGTCCGCAATCTCTGCACATGCAAGACTACAATTCCCGTCAGGCTGTGCGGTAGAGCCTAAGGCGATGGGTGGGGACACTTCCAGCCAATAGTAAGAGAGTTCCCTGCCTTTGCGGGAGGAGGTGAGACCGAGAGAGAGGGTGTTCGAAAGGAGGAGGAAGGGAGGGGTCAGCTCTCACCTGCACCAATCAGGGTGCTGGGTCGGCCCTGCAGGCGACTCACCCATTGTGGGGGCGGGCTAGCAGAGCAGAAGAAGGAAGGGGGTTGGGGGGAGAGCTTGAGGCGGGTAACGTGGGGCGGCAGAGCTGTGGACGCTGCACCAGGGGGAGGAAGCATGGGGGGGATCGCCGGCGTAGAGAGAGGGAGCGGTGTGGGGATGCGTCCCGGCCGGAGGAGCAGCTTCCCTGAAAGCGGACAAGCCCCAGGCACACCAGGCGGCCAGACCTGAGGGTCGTTGGGAAGGGATAGTGTGAGCTTGGGTTTCTGGAGGGGGCGCCCGGGCGGGGCAGGAGGCAGCTCCAGGTGTGAGGCCACTGACTGAGGAGAGAGGGGTCCCCAGGGGAAGGGAAGCGGCAGAACAGCTGCAGAAGTGCAGGGAGCGGGAAGGTACTAGGGCAGCAGCTTCCCGCCGCCACCAGCCGGGGCAGCAGCAGGAACAGCAGGGGGAGGAGCAACAGCTGCTGAATTCGCCAACTAGAGGAGGGGGAGGCGGAGCTTGGGTCCCTGTAAGCAGCCGGAGGCGCAGTCTGGACTCTAGTTTCCCGGGAGAGGCGAGAGGTAGGAGCACGAGCCGAGCGGAGCGCAGTCCTCCGACATCAGCTCCAGCATCCCGCCAGGGGTTGCAGGTGTGTGGGAGGTAAGCGTGGGTGCCTCTTCTGGGCGTCCTCACACTGCCTGGGAGAAAGCGTCTTCTAATAGGAATTCTGTCAAGGCACAGCTAGAGTCTTTGACTCGGGTTAGGGAACTGGTGCGAACCCTTTTAGATGAAAGATGTACATTTTGGACTTTGTAGGGGGAGAAAAAGCAAAAGGTGGCTTGATTCTGGGTATAAAGGGCGTGGTTAGTGTTTTTGGTGTGAGTTATACCATTAAAACTGTTCTGGGAGATCTTAAGATTGAGGGTAACCCTGGTAATTGAGGATAAGGTGGATGATATCTGGATAGGTGCGTAGCTGGTTAAAAAAAAAAATTTGTCATTGATATAGAATTACTTCAGAACTCTTTCACTAGGAAAATAACTTTGCATTCTTCAATGTCCACCCTGTACGTTTTATCAGATTGTCCTGCTACCGACCTGTTTTCCAGGGTGGTTTACTGCAGGTTCCTAAAATTGAAAGAGATTTGTATTAAGGAAGCAAATGCAGGCAGGAATAATCAAGATGACTAGACCTGTCAGAAGTATAACTTTGCCAGCAATAATGTAAAAACGTTTTAATGGATGGATACTTAGCTTTCCTTCCAGTGGCTCTAGAATATTGGAACAAAGACCAGGACTCAGCCTACAGTGGGAACATACGGTGTACTTCATTGCTGCTCCTTATTCTCTCATTTGGGTCTGGTAATATTTGTACAATTTAAAAAACTAAAGTACAAGAAAAACTGTGAGCATCTTTTCTGTTTAGGGAGTGTGTACCAAATGATTACCCTTAGTATGTGTTGTGATGGGTTTAGGCTTAAAACACATGTAATAATATCATAAAATCATAGTTTATTCTTGGTATTAAACCTTGTGCAATTTCTTTGAATGTTATTAAATACCTGTGGATGAAAATATGTTTTAATACTAGATAAATGTGAAAGTCACACCTCGCTTTGTGTAACTATCACAAAATTGCAGTCTTTCTTTTTAGAAAAGTATGTAAATAGCTATTTTCCTAGTCATTTTATTTTTGTTACAGAGGTCTTTCAGTTTGCATGGCTTTTAATCACAGTAGCATATTGCAGCACATTTTGCTCTGAAATGCTTTCTTGTGACAATTGTGTATTCCAGGGTTTGCAAATAATCTGTACTTTTTTTTTAAACTAGGATCAATACAATGGAGTAATTACCTTCTATTTCCTTGTTTTCATGCTTTTCTCATTTAGGATTTTTGGATTTTATTTTTGTAACACACACAAAATTCCTTTTTAAAAAAGAAATGGCCAGAAGGAATTCTCTTCATAGATTAAAGTTCTGTCCTACTGAGTGCTACTACTGATAAGCCTAAAAGACTCCTCCCCTCCAGCACCCCCTGCCACATTCTTACACACCAGAGAAATATATAGATGGACAGATCTTAGAAAAACAGCTGCTTTTAGATTGTCCCCAAGCAGATCAGGTATTAGAAGCAGCAAAGAGCTTAGAATAAAGAAAAGCAACAGTAACCAGTAAACTTAGCCACGGTAAGGATCCAAGTTTATCTTTGCTATATCACGGGAGAATCTATTAATCCACGTAGCTGATGAGACCCTATGTAAATGATTTTAGGAGGAAAAAAATGGGTACTAGAGTATAGTGAGGCTTGGAAAAGATTGTGTTTACCCTTGTTATTTGTGAGTAAGCAGATTGTTCTGAGTCAGAGTCTTAGAATCTTTCTTAGTCTCTGCCACTGATTGATTTTGTGAAATTGAACACTTGCTGTCACTAATTTATTTACCCCATGTAATAATAATAATTAATAATAATATTGGCAATGAAGTTCTTTCAGAGAGCCTTTATAAAGAGTTTGGTTGGGAATCAGTTAATAATCAAGTAAATGGGATAGAAAAAATATCAAAACAGTTGAAATTCGGATGTACTTTGAATCCCAACTATTTTTAGGTCTTCTGCTGTGAGGTATCATAAGGATAGAATCTCATTAGGAGTGGATGAGTTTGTGGTATTAAAGCACTGGATGTTTTGCCTGCTTCCAAGATTTGGATCCTCTTTAATTTATCAATGAAAGAGATTGGGTTCCTATATCATTCGGCAGTAAAAGCATGTTTTTATAAAGGAGAAAATCATTAGCAATATATAGTACTTTGTTACCTTGAACTTGTCTCAAGAGATTTTAAATTGGTGTTCATATTAAATCTCAGATAATCTGAAGACTTCTTGACTGTATGTTATGGTGTTGAGGTGATTCTTTATGTGACAGTTTATAATTTTATGTAAAGCACTACTTAGGCTAAAAGCATCTTATTTATTCTGCCCTTGATTTTTACTATTTGTGTATGGCTATTAGTGAGCATATGATATGATGAGAAAGAAAACCAACGGAGTGCAGAATGTCTCTCTGGAATGGACAGTACTCTGGGGATCACTGTTCTTTAGCCAAAAGACTTGGTTAATTTCAAATTACAATATATTTTGAACTTTTTTATACAAAATTATGACTCTAAGCTTATTGAGTGAAAATAATTGAGTATCGTGGATTTCTCATTCTAACAGGAGGATTCACTGATGCATGCAGCATAAAAGAGTGAGACTTAAAGGTTCAAGATCAAATATTTTTGGTGTGTTGGGAGGGTGATTTATAGAGGGGAATAGATACGAAAAGTACTATTTGATAAACAATTTGAGAAACTGTTTTAGCAAGAGAGAAAAGAGACTTGATCTGTTTGTTAAATGTCTGTAAGTGGTTCCATGGCCTTTTTTCCCCAATCATTTCTAGAAGCCTAATACCCATAGTGGGAGACAGTACTTTCCTATATTGTCATTTTAAACTGGAGTCTGACTGACATTAATTCATTAGATTTTGAGTAATCATGGGTTATTAAAGCAAAGCAAAAAAGATCCTCTGTGTATACATTCACTTCTAATTGAATTAATTATTTGGACATAATACTAAAAAGAAGTAAAAACCTAAAAGGTGTTTCCCCCCTTCATAACAGAGATCCTTGAACCAGACACTAAAAATGAGCAAGAACACCCCCGTCCCCCTTTTTACAGCAAACTTCTAAGGTTAAAGAGTGCTTTGGGGGATCGGGATTAATTATTATACAAAGGTAAGGATTTGTTTTTGTTTTGTTTTCAATCTTCTAATGTTTTCAAAATTTAGTCCTTAAAGTTCGGTAAGTATTTTTTAAGTAACTAGATTATTAGCCCCTGGAGACAACATACTTCTTTCCTATCTCCTGCTTGTTCTGAGCATCCTGTGTCACACTCAGCATAAAGAAGTGGCCCTATAGCCACTTACTGAATTAGAACTACTAAGACTTTTGTAATGTACACATTGAGACATTTTGCATTTTGATAGACAAGAGTTAAGTTGACCTCAGAATAATTACTGTACATTAGGCTTTCTGAGAATATCTGTGCTGGTTGGCCTTTGCAAAAGTGTCCATTGGGCCCAATTTCATTTAGATTGTGTGGGCTGTGAAGACTGATCTACAGTTTTGTGTGCCAACATTTCTAAATTCATGCCAGAGATAGGGAATATGGATGAGGGGAAAGGGCTCTCCCACTGGTGGCAAACAAGGTCTGCATTTTCTAGCCAGAGAAGCCTATGGCTCAACGCCATTTTACCTAAGTAAGATACCTTTGTTGAAGTTTACTCATGAAACACATATTTCATTCCATAAAACTAAATTTGTTCTTCCATTTTTCTAATCATTTCTTTAAAAAAAAAAAAAAAACAAGAAGAAAAGAAATCAGACTGTGTTTAAGCACAGGTGGAGTTGGGCATTTATTGTCTTTGGCATTCAACCTTCCAGAAACAAATTAATCTGATTAGTGTTAGAATGAAGAATTCAAATGTGATTTTCCTTTCATTATTATAAGACCTGGAGAATTTGAGTTAATTATAGATAGTTTTTTAGTAGTAAATTTAATAACAGCAGATATTTAACTGCCTTTTTTTTTTTTGCTTTTTAACATCTTTTCAGCATACAAATAGATACAAATTGGCTTAGAATTGATGATTGATTAACCTTCCTTCTTCATGTTCCTTTGGCATTACTCTTCATGCTTAGCATTGTGCCTTGTATGGAGTTAGCTGAGTTCATACCTGTCTTCCTCACCAGATGCTTAGTAACTTCAGAACTGAGTTTCATTTGCCTTTCTATTTAAGAGCCTTATATAAAGTCTATACTTGGTAACAATTTGTTTAAGTATTTGACAACCTATAATGAAACATCATTTTACATTGTTCAAAAACAAGTACAACTAGAAAAGTGAATTTTCCTTAGACATCTGTTTTAGCACCAAATGCAGCCCTTTGCCCACAACAGTTGCTTATATAGAGCTAAATATAAATATTGGTGTCTACTGTTGACTTTGTGAATGAATAAAGCAAACATTGCTATTAACTGCAACATTGCATATGAGTGTACTTTAGATATAAATTTATTAATTGCATGCTTTTTGGAATTTGGTTTCTCTTTGCCTCTAAAATTTTGCTGACTTAAAGATGTACTTTTAAGTAACATTCCCCACACGTTCATATGCACATTTTCTATGACTTGTTTTTCCTTGACACAGAAATACTTAGAGAAAAACAGATAAATGTAATATAAGGCTTTATCTTAACTAAAATTTAACTGGTCTTAGGTGTTCAATTTTTAGTGAAATGGTTACCTTGGGAGGCCTGATTCAGGCTTTTTAATCCTAAATTATACAGGTATTTGTCATCTTTGAGCAAGCATGGGGAAGGGATGAATTCTGAGATTTGGCATTAACAGTGCTCAGTGCTAGCCTTCTGTACATCAAAACTGCTGAATGGTACCTCTAACTCCAGCCATTGCTTCAAGACCTCCTTCTGGTTCTGCCTAGGGAAGGAGCTTTCTGAGCTCCTCACAGATCCTAATTTAGTGTGGGAAGGAAAGCAGATGGAATTTATTTTGACTTAATAATCTCATTTTCCTAAGTGTACTGTTTTTTTCAGATACATCTCATACC